AAACTTGTCCAGCGACCACCATCAGCATCCAGTCGGCCACCCCGGACCCGCGTCCCCGAAAGCCCACCCCCACTGCCATCGATCGCGGCTCCGGCCGGGGAGGGGGGGGCAGGGGAGAGGATGCTGTGGGATGAACCCGGCCAGGGGGGTGGCGGGGGAGGAAATCGTGGCTCTGAGGGGGCAGGACCAGGTCTGAAGTATGGGTCTAGCTAAGGAGATCAGCTCATCCTCTCCGTATCCACGCGTCTCAGCCTTCTTCCAGTTTCAAGTGTGTGTTTGGGGTATTTTATGTTTAATTCCCCCCCCCCCCCCCCATCTCCCTCTAAATCTTCTCGGGGATTCTGCACATCGAAGCAGGTGGCTCCTGAAAAGAAATCTTTGGATACGTTTGGTTTGCCAAGTTTTTCTCTTCCCGTCCCCTCCGTCTCTCAGAGGCATCTGTGGTGCTTTTTCTTCTTGGATTTCTATGCAGGAGACGTATATATGTTTATATCCCGACCGCATCACATATAAATACATATACGCGCGCCCAGCCACTGGGTTTTCGTCGCTCTTCCCGACCAAGCGGAATGTGTTGGAGCCGATGGATAAGGAGAACAGTCTGAACATTTTTTTGAGCCTGTTTTCTCAAAAAAGGAGGGAGCGTGGAGAATTGTTTAACATTCGGCCATCGCTTGGCTGCACACTAAGCCTCTCCAAGTATTTATGGTTGCAGATCAGGTGCCAACGGGACTTAGCGAGAAAGGTAAGGAGCTGCCTGCGTCCGTCCGCCGCGCTCCAGCGTTGATCTTAATTCCGGAATCGCTCCAACTTCCTACTCCTTGCCTCCCTCTCCTCTCCCACCTCCCACCAACCCTGCCCTGCTCGGTCTCCTGCGTTCCCTTAGCCCCTTTCCAGTTCCAATGGGGGGTGGGGGTGGGGGTGCTGGAGGCTTAACCGTCTGGTGGAGTTTAAATACTTCTCCCCCCCCCCCAACCCTCCAGCCCAGGAACTGAGTTTTCCAGTCCCCTTTTAGCTGTTTTAGGAAACCCATTTGTCTTTTTTGTGTGTGTGTGAAGAATCATGCTACCTAGATAGCTGATTTTTAAACATCTCTTGGTGCCAACCCCTCACCTCTATCCTCTGACAAAAATAAAAATCATTAAAAAAAAAAGAACTTTAATGAACTGGGTGGTTTCTTTAGCGCTGGGGTTCATGGAACTCCCCCAAACGCTTATTTTCATGTAAAACCAAACCGATACCTCGGGAGGAGTCCGCCGTGGAGGACACTCAGCTTCGGTGTCTGCATGAAGCCGATTCCTTTCACTTGGAGGATCATTTACCCGAGTTCAGCGCCACCGAGTGAGCCTGGCGTAGGGACAGCTGCATCCCCACTTAATTTCTTTTTAAAACCACCCTTTACCGTGTACACAGCATGGCCAGCTCCCGTGCAACTCCCAGTTCAGGGGACGCGTTTTCAGACGCGACCTTTAGGGGAGAGGGGGGCACTTGCCTCATTCTCTCTTCTCTCTCTCCAACCTCCTGCCTCCTCCTCCGATCACCGCCTCTCGCCCCGGCAGTTTGCAAATTGCCCGTTTTGCCCACCCCTCCCGGTGGGTGTTCTCCGCTCGCTCTTCCCTACTCCTGCCCCCTCTGTCCTCTCTCCATTGGCGCTTTCAGAGCAGATGCATCTTCTCTTCTTGGGCTTC